AATGTAATAAAAAAAAATAAGAAAATTATAATTCGTGACAAAGATTCAGGCAAGGTGGTACTTGATGTATATCATAATCACATTGAATCTAAAGTTTTAAATATTATGCAAGGTACAATGCTGGAAATGTTCCAATTACAAAGAAAGGTTGCCTGATTTGATGATATATGGAAACTTAATCAAGAAGCATTGATAGCTACTGGGTATATAAATTTTATATATGTTTAGTTTCATGCTTGAGCAGTACTGACAACAAGTTTTAGATATCGGTCGACAATGGAATGTAGAATTTTTACACATGTTTTCAATATACCGAAAGAGTTATGAGAAACAAGCCAGTAGTACCTGCACGAAGAAAAAGTTGTTACGATGAACAGTCTTCTGTTTAACTATGCAATAGGTATTTTTTCTACCAATGTAACTTTGAGTATACAGCAAAAAATTGTCGAGCATGGGCTTCCAAGATTAGATAGAAACAAGTATGGAGTAATCGAAAAAGATATCGCAGTTTTTTACGACAAAAAAAAAATCAAACTTAACCATTCCTTGGATCTCTATGAAATATATGTATCCTGGAGGTATAACAAATTTGCCCATGCCAATACAAATTTCTTGAACCAGCCAGCTGCCTAAGAGGAATTTGCTTCAAGAGTGATCCAGGATTTACTTGCCGTGAAGAGAATTTTGATAGAGGCAATTTTTACATGGCTAAATAGGGAATAAAAGTAGAGATGACAGGTATTTTTATAAAAATAATAAAAAAGTTTGGAATATAAAATATTAAGTTTTTATTTAAATTTTTATACAAGGCAACACTCTTTTTTGCTGGCCAGAAAAAGAGTTATATGGCACAACTGTTTTGCCAATGGAAGGTATAACTAGTGGTTTATAACAAAACCTGGTAAAAAAAACAGTAATAGCAATTAAAAAATGGAAAGAAGGTGTTAAAAAAGAAAAACATATGAAGTATCAGCAAGAGCAATTGCAATAAAATCCCCCTGTTTTGCCAGTACTGGAAGAATCAATAAAAAAAAACCAAGGCAGTAGTGGTACTGCAGAAAATTTAAATTATACAGGTGTATATTTTAATTTAGAAGAAAATAATCGTAAATAGCAATAAATTATAAATATTAAAAATGTAAATTATTAACTAAATGTTTATATATAAAACTTAAAGATAGCAAATAAATATTAGATAGGAAAAAACGAATAAAAAAAAAAAAAAAAAAAAACACAATTAAAAAAAATATCAGATTAAACAAATAAATACGGATCAAATAAAAATAAATCCATTCAGATACAAATCAGATCAAATAAAAACTAATCTGATTAGTTTTAGATTAGATTTACCTAAAATCCAATTGATTTGATCTGTTGCAATCCCTACACATAAATGAGATTCTATTGAATGGAGGTATTGGAGCTCAAATGTAGCATGAAAACATTTTGTCAGTAAGAATCATGCCAGATGGTCCAAATTCCTTTGCCTACCTTATTTTGATCCAATTCAGTATTTAGTTATCAATCTTATGCACTGTTTTTTTTTAGGTATTGATAAATGACTCGTTAAATGAATATGAATTGAAGAAGGGATACTGATGAATAATGCATTGAATAAAATATAATCAATAATGGAAATTTTTCAAGTACCATCAAATATTGGTCGAATTCTGAGAAAAATAAATAGTGGTGAAGGATTTTTAAACTTTACTACCAATCAGTGGAGAAATTTTTTCACAATATATACAACTATTGTTCTATAAAAGCATCTTTCAAATGTGGATCACCAAATTCTAATAAATTTTGTCAAGATTTGTCAAATCTTAGTATGTCAAATTTTAAGATGAAATTTGTTAAATAAGGCTCACAAAAGATTAGTTGCAATAATTAAACTAATAGAATCAAAATATGAGAAAAAAAAATTACTTTGAATCTTCATCTTTTATTACATTTATATGAATGTGCATATAATTATGAGCCATTGTATATATTTTGATACTTTTCATTTGAGAGGATGAATAGTATATTAGATAGGTTTTTTAAACAAATTTAACATTCAAAAGTAGAATTCTAATAAATTTTTAATCTAGATTTATTGTCTAATAGTCACCAAAATATTAAATCTGGATTAATGTGAAGATTAATGAATAATCTTTAAATTATTAATTTAACTATGTTCTATTCTAATAATCAGGAGTTTGAAATTTTAAATAATCAACCAAATATTGGCTCAATTTCTGAACTAGATCAGTTTTTGGCTGACAAATTATATCGATTTTTAAACAACACATATAATATTCACAAAACAATAATCAATAGATTCAAACATTTTCTAGGTGAACTTTTGTATTCGAAAAAATCAAATTTAAAGATATTTGCTAAAATATTAGATCTATTAGTCAAATACTATGAGGTATTTTATGAAATTATGGATTTTTGGAGGCTATTTACGAAAGATAATGAAAATTTGATAATTATTTGAAATAGAACAGATCAATATAGTAGAAGTCAAATTGGAAGTGAAATATTCGATTTTGTTATGTCCTCACGAAATATTAAGGACTTATTTATATTAGCTAAATTCGTGAATCACAATAGAAGTGTCAATTTATATTTGGGACAAGTTCAATTCTTCTTTACATATTCAGTAAACTTTCCAAATAATGTTATTGAATATCGATTGACCTTTATTCAAACCAGTTAATTCAGCAGAAAATAGATTTTATTTTGGATCTAAAAATAATGCGAATATTAAATTGTGAAGTATTGAATTTTACTTAGTTAGACATAAATATATAATCCCTATTCATAATATTTTTGGCTGATTTATTCTATTTATATATAGAACCTCAAATCAGTAAGACTCTTATAAATATTTAGCTGTAATTCCTTTAAATCATAAATATAATATATAATTAAAATTTGGTAAATGTGTAAATTTTGACAAATGTCTAATAATTTTTTGAGGAAAATTTTAATGAAATATATAGTAAAAATGGTGCAAATATGGCAGATAATACTTAATTATGTAGTAAAAATTGATTGACGATTTATTTATACTGAATTGTATAGTAAAAATTAATTGATGATTTATTAATACCAAATTGTATTAGAAATTGATTGATGATTTATTTATGCTGAATTGTATAGTAGAAATTGATTGACGATTTATTTATGTCAATTTATATGATAAAAATTGATTGATAATTTATTTATGTCATTAATATGCCAAGTTATTTATTTTTTTGATGAATATTACATGAGTGGCATTATGTTGAATAAATATTTTTTGACTAATATGAATGAGTTATTGATTATTCCTATTTTAATTTACTTGTTTATCGAAATAGTTGTTAATCTTCATTATAAAGGATGGACTGTTTATTTGTAGACTTTTGATAAACTTTGCTATATTGTTTTAATACTGACTTATTTAATAGGTACGTATTTGCATAACTTGTTTTATTGTTTAGACAAGTATATATGGAAATAGGATACTCTATTATTTAGTTCTTGGGAGCTTTTGATGTCCTTTTAGGCTTTATAAACTTTGAGTTTTTCTTGATTTATCAGTGAGAACTATTATTGATAAAGTTCTTTCTAATACCTAAAAATGTGTAAATCAATACTGACCTGAGTAAAAGCTTGGAAAGTTGATATTGGACTCTTCTAAGTTTACTGTGAATCAGCTTGTAAGTATATTTTTCTTCCCTTATAAAGTAAAGTAAAGTATAGCTAAAATGATGTTGTGCTACCTATATTTTTCTTGATTGATAAAGTAATCTTTGGAGAAGTAACTGAATATTATGAATTGTTATTAAGTTTCAGATCTTTGAAAGATAAAGTATATTAGGTTGGCTTCTCTTTTCCAAGAAAATTATCTAAAAAGAAAATTACTAAGGAAAAAAGGGATCAATGAAAAGAGTTTTTTTTTATTTTCAATAAATTGGGATTTTGTTTATCCTGATAAAAAAATAATAATAATAAAATAAATTTTGATAAAATTGAAATTTTAGTGAATGTCTAATAATTTTTTAAGAAAATTTTTAATAAAATATATAGTAAAAATAATGCAAATTATATAGTAAATAATATCAAATTATATAGTAGAAATTGAATAATGATTTATTTATACCAAATTATATAGTAGAAATTGAATGATGATTTATTTATACCAAATTATATAGTAGAAATTGATTGATATAAGTGATATTATGCTAAATAAATATTTTTCAACTAGTGTTATTGTTAACTTTAAATAAATAGTTAATGCAAAGATTACTATATATTATCATTTTACTGAAATAAAATGAATAAATAATTTTGATTTTTTTTTTAAGAATTAGAAACAAAATTAAAATAAAAAAAAATCTATTTTTACAGTCTAGAATTAAATTACAACCGATTGCGCAATAGATCTTAAAATCTATATTGTATAGATTATAGATATTGCATATTTGATATATTTGATGCATGTGAAAATTTTAAGGTCCGTATAATAAATAAATAGCTCTGGAAAAGATAACTACCTTATCAGGCATTAGTTAATTGGATAATTGAACAACTGATCGATTCTGCAATTGCGTGTTTGCATGCAATAAACCGTAATATTTTTTTTTAAGCCCATAATTGTAGTCCTGGTGACAAAGGGTCAAATTGTATGTAAACCGTCGCAGGTTGGTAACAATTCAAATTTTGTATCACACAAAAATGTATAAATATATCATATATTTTTGGAATTACAATAGTTTCTACTTATAAAATTCATTGTTTCTTGTTTTTGGAAATTAGAACAACTTGGCAAAGAATTTACGTCTCGCATTGAATTTCACAATTTGCAAGCCATTTATGATCTCGTTTGATTTAATTTAATAATACTCGCGATTTTTCGTTTAAGACAGAATATAATTATTTATAATCTAGTGGAATCCAGAGGATTTTATTTTCCTTTTTCGTTTTTTTTTTTTCAAGATATGCAGTAATTCTGTGCAATTTCCCCAATGGTGAAATCAAAAAAGCAACAGACTACTCAATTGGGCATGAATGAGGCCAAGGTACACGTTTTTTGTTGGATTCCTCTATCGGAATGATTCCTACGCAACAAAAATTTAATCCATATTATTTGTCGACTATGCAGGAGGCACAGGAAAATGAAATAGAAGCCTTGAAAGGCAAGTTTCTTTGTGTGCGGTTTGCGTTGGGCGAATGATGTTTAAATGGTGCGGCACGAAATGAATTTCGTCCCATAAATTCAGTCATATTTAATTATTATGTTCTGAATAACATCCTTACAGCGATTTTCATGGAGGATTATGAGCCAGTGGTCGTAACCACAGCTTGGAAGGTATTTACTATGTGCATCCTCTCCGAGTTCATATTTATCATTTGATTGCTAAGATCGAGTTTGTTTGCCAGGTATCTCCAACAGGTCATGAGTTTAAGCTTCATCTCTGGCCACAAGAACAAGAACTAAAGAACCATGTATCTGTGGATCTACGCATTAAGTGTGCTATCTTTTTTTGATGTTTCAAATTAATCATGAATATAGATCTTCGAATGTTTATACTCATATTTCTGCTAGGCTTCCGAAATCCTATCCGCGTTCCGCTCCGGACATCAAGATCGAAAACGCCCGTGGTTTATCAGCAGCGCATTTGCATCAGCTTCATGAACACGTGTCCAGATTGATAAAAGAAAATATGGGTCAAGAAATGGTTTACACCATTGCACAATTTGTTCAAGAGTTTATTACGACAAATAACAATGGAGTCCCTTCTGTCGGCAATAACCTTACTTCTTTTCATGATCAAATGCTAAATCGAATTGAACAAAGGACCAAGGTTGGAATTGTTTCTTCGAATTTACAACAAATCGTAATGCATGTTTTTAACAGATTTTATTAAAGGTGGAAAAGGAAAGGGCCATGGAAGAGAAAGATCGCGCTCGTCAAATGGAAGAACAAGAACGTGAGATAGAAAGTATGATGTTGATGCAAAAAATTGAAGAGGAAACGCAACGAAAATTGGCAAAAGGTGAAGAAGAAAGGATGAAAAGAAAAAAGTTGAGGGTCAAGGATGAACAAAATCTAAAGGCATCAACCGGAACGCCGATAGCTTTTCCGAAAGTGGATTTCGAGAAAATCATCATTTTAGACCCTAATGATTCACAGGTACAAGTTTTACGGTGAGGTTAGATTAGTTACGAACACTTATTGACATTAATCAATACGGTAGGATGTACCTTTCAAATCTGTTTTTCTCGGTCCGCTAATTGGCAAAGGTGAATTTTTTCTCTTTCGACGTGACTCTCGGTAAATTTATGATTGTTAATTCGGTTTTTTGTTACAGGAACTATTGGTTCGACGTACATGGTCCAGCCTATCAATTTTCAAGGGGGAAATGCCGATTCATTTAACAGTTATAATTTATTGTTGAAAAAGATTGCAATAACCACGCAACACTATTTAGAATTTTCAAGTAAAAAAATGGTATATTGCAATATTTTTTATGTTTCTCCGGGATTTGTAATCTAACAGGCTTTCTGTTTTTCCTTCAATAAAGCTCGAAGAGATTGAGAAAGATCTGAATCGCTTGAAAAAACTTAGACATCAAAACTTGATAATTATCTATGAGTCGGAGCTTGAAAGGTGTGAGAAAGGGTGGAATTTGCACATACTTATGGAGTATGCGCGTGGTGGTACATTAGTTGATTTGCTGAGAAAATGCGGCGTTATTCGATTACCGTTGGCGAGGGAGTACATGAAACAATTGCTGAACGCCTTGGATTACATTCATGCTAATAATTTCGTGCATAAAGGTTGATCATTTTTATTTCCTCTAAATTGTGCCAGCTACCAAATACGTTATTCATGTAAAATCTCTTGCAACTTAAAAAAGGTATTAAGGCTTCCAATATATTGTTCTCCGAAATTGACGGAAAGGATGGATTTATTGCGAAATTATCGGACACGAATTATCACCGCATGCTATTGGGTAAGCGCGGAAACACTCTAATATCGTCCCGAATTGCTCGAATTCATTTTATCTAAAAATAATTAGACTTGAATGAAAGTTTCCCATTTTCCAAATATTCCGGAAAAGAAACGAGTAGAAGATGGTAAAGCTTGTTCTAGAATTTCAAAAATTTCAAATTTTAATGATTATATTGGCTAATTTCGAATAACACAAATATCATCAGGATATCACCCGAACAGGAGTCAAAGCCTCACTTGTATTCCAGGTCTGCGATATTTTTAAAGTATTGTAAATAAGAATATACCCAAGGAAAACAGAATCATCATAATATTTGGGTTTCACAGGAAGAATGACATTTGGTATATTGGCGTAATTTTCGTTCAGATGTTATTCGGATTGAGTGCTATCGAACGGTATGATTCACTAGATGATCTATTGGAATCTGGTAAGTCATTTTTTTATATATTTAAGAAAAATGTGTAGGCAATTTGAAGTCGAAATTTTGATCTTTTGGTAGTTGAAAATGAAATACCTTCAGCTGTTCAGGATGTTCTAAGGACTATGCTTGACGAGTAAGTTCACGTCGGTCACATATAATATTTACGTTGTCTGCTAATTTGTCAATACTTCCTTTAATTCACTATGATCAGAAATCACTGGAAGAGACCTACCCCGTTAGAGTTGCTCATGCAACCCTTCTTCAACGAAGGCTCGAATTTTTTAGATACACCTTTGAAGTTCATTACGTCACCAGGTCAGTTATGATGAAGCATTAAAAAGCCGCCAATACTATTGTCCCTCATCCACGACCATTTGCATATTGTTTTAACATAGGCGCGGAAAGTGACAAAACACGTGTCCTTCAGGCGTTCACCAAAGAGAACAATGATCTTCATGGCAATTTATGTGAGAATGTTCCGCAATTTACATTTTCTCCGCCCACCTCGACCTCCCAAAATGCAACTTTCTCGAGATATCGTCTTGATTTTGAAGAAATAGATTTCCTTGGGAAAGGTGATTTTACATTTGAACCCATATAATTTTATAATTTTAATTAAATATAATTTGGTTTACTTAAACATTTTAGTACAGGTGCTTTTGGTGAGGTCGTTAAAGCGCGAAATAAATTGGATGGCAGGTAAGCAATTTACCTCGGAATTTTTTCATAAATTATATCTGACGATTCTATCTGAACGTGTTTACAAGGTATTATGCAATAAAAAAAGTTCGTCTAAACCCGAACGACATTGAGAAAACTCGGAAAATACTGAGGGAAGTGACCACGCTATCAAGGTTGCATCATCAATATGTAGTTCGTTATTACACCACTTGGTTTGAAGGTCGTATCCTGTGTCCAATTTTGTTATTATTTCTACAAATATTTCAATAAACATAAAGATTTTTTTTTTTTTTTTTTATACTAATGTAGACAAATGCATTTTTAATTTAGATTCGGACAGCACATGGAAGGAGACTAAATCTTTCAGCGAAAGTATCTCTGATGAGAATGAATCGTTGGACGGTTTGACGAGTAATGGGGTATTCTCAGATGACGATGATTTCGGGTTTTTGTCCGCCAGTGCATCCAAACGCATGGAATACTCGAGGACCCCGTTTGAAAATTACTCGTCGACTGAATCCGATTCGGAATTTGAGATGCATGATGATGAAACAAACATTGCGTCGACGAACAAAAATCGAGGAGTTGTTGCTAAAAGGTCTTCATCAAAAGAGGAGAAAACTCGCATTTTGTATATACAAATGGAATATTGTGAAAAAAAAACACTAAAGGACATAATCGATGTTGGGGTTAAGCAGGAAGAAGGCTGGAGGTAAATTACCTTTTATACTTTACGCTCATGTTCATCATGTCACAACTGACCAATTATGTGGTATCATTGTTCTCACGGATTTAGGATATTTCGTCAAATTCTAGAAGGACTTGGTATATCAGCATTTGCAATTTTACTACTTTTAAAGGAATCTTTGTATTTCATCACATTTGTTAATTCGATTTAATTAATCCAATAATTTTTTTTTTTTTTTTTTGTGTTGTTCAGCGCACATTCATCGAAGTGTACGTGACTATTACTTATTCGTCCATTACGAACGCATGCCAAAATACCATTTCGTTCACTCTCACTTCTTAATTTATAGGGAACGGTAATTCATTTAATTATTCAAAAATAAGATTTTCGCCTTTCGACCTCTCGAGAATGACAGATCGTTATTTCCATTGACTTTATTAAGATCCATCGTGATTTAAAGCCTAGCAATATCTTTTTAGATGCAAATGGCGATGTAAAGGTAAATCGCGTGAACGACTTAATGAGTGATCTTTCGGCACGCGCATCCTTTTAAACTCGCGCGCTGATCGTCTCTTTAGATTGGTGATTTTGGGCTGGCTACCACAAGTGATGCATTCTTTGACCCAGGATCATTCCGAATGCCCAACTTCGATAGAATGGGCAGTCGAGAAGACTCGATGACTGGAGGTAATGGTGATCGTTTATCTTCTAACGATTATTCACCAAACATCTCCCTCACGTCTTTGATTATTTAGATGTTGGCACGACACTTTATGTTGCCCCTGAAGTTATCAGTGGCAATGCATTAATTGGGACCCGTTACAACCACAAAGGTAAGTTTTTTTCTTTTGAATTGACAAGCATGCTCTTGGTTTATGTTAAAGATGCTTATTATGTTTCGTTTATTTTAATTTTTAATTTTTTAATTTTTTAGTTGACATATACTCTCTAGGTTGGTTGCAAGAAATTCTGTTCGATAAGGTCTTGACTCTCTGCTCAAATACATCTTATGCTATCCTTAGGTATTATTTTCTTCGAAATATGCTACAAGTTTTCGACGGAAATGGAGCGCCGAGTGGTAATGTTTCACGATTGAGATTTAAGCAGAACAAAGTTCCCATACAAACTCATCGTCAACTTTACTTGCAGACAATTGTCGGCCTGCGAAAACCCGAAATAGTGTTCCCTAAAGATTTTCCCATTGATAAAATGTCTAATCAGGTGCACATAATTCGCTGGTGTTTGCAACACGACTCTAAAAATCGCCCAACTAGTCAGGAGCTTTTGAAAAGTGAATGGTTACCAGCACAAGTTGAAGATGAATATTTGCAAGAATGCATTAGAACCATGGGTTTGTTCATAGACTTGTTGACCCTTTGCGTTGAGAATATACATGCGCTATTAAACTAATATGAATACTTCAATTATTTCAGCCAATCCCAGTACGCCGTACTATCTTACTTTGCTGTCTAATTTGTTTGCACAGTCTTCTAACAAGCAAAAGGATTATACCTATGACTTCAACTCTGTAATCATATTTTTATATTAATTGATTTATCCCGACTCGGTTGACAGTGCAGAAATTAATGAAATTTTAATTATTTTCACAGGGGTCTCCTTTCGATCAATTGACGGCACTTATTTTTGGACGTGTTAAGGATAATCTGACTAAGATATTTCGTCGCCACGGCGCAGTCGAATTAAGTACTCCATTATTGATGCCTAAATCGGACATATACGAGGATAAAAAAGTTGTTTACTTGATGGATACTGAAGGCGGGATCGTTCAGGTACATCATTAAATAGTTTTCTTTCCATTGGCTCGGAAGACTGGGTATTTAATTCTCACGGTTACAGCTTCCCTATGATCTGACGGTTCCCTTTTCAAGATACATTTCTCGAAATAACATTACTGACCTAAAGCGTTACACGTTTGACCAAGTATACCGGTTGAGTATTATATTTCGAACGATTTTTATTTATTTCTTTCTTTTAATTAAAGTTTTATTTTTTAAACCAAATTCTTTTTTCTTCAGAGAAAACGCCGTCGGTGGACAACCTCGTTTTGTTAATGAGGCAGATTTCGACATTGTTCACTCGACATGTTCTCCAATGGTCGCCGAGGCCGAAATCTTCAAAATAGTGGATGAAGTTATCGAAGAATTCTCACAATTAAAAACCGTTAATTTTTGTTTTTATGTAAATCATACAAATATTCTAAAGACAATACTAGATTTTTGTCGCATACCTGAAGAATGTCAAACAGAAGTCTGCATACTGCTCGAGCAGTTGGATAAAAAATATTCCATGACCCAGATAAGGACTCACCTCTCGAATGAGTATGAATTACCGAGAAGTATACTTGACGACCTTGTTCTCTTTGATATCAAAGGTATTTATAATATCTATTGTCGTCTATTTCTTAAATTTGTAATAAGAATTTTTGATTTTCATTTTTAACGTACTTCCTATAAAGGCGATTTAGAATTCGTCACTAGTGCTCTTGAGAGAATGATATCTATGGCCTCAATACAGGAGATCTTTGATGACTTCCAACTTTTGCTGAAATATGCCAAAAGTCTTGGCATTCATCATGAAATAATATTTGCTCCCTTACTGACGTAATTCATCTCAAACCTTAAATATTCTGATCACCACCTCTAGCGGTTTTATTAATGACTTGCATATCGATGGTTTAGGTACAATAATCGTTACTATAAGAATGGTATGATTTTCCAAGTTGTGGATGACAATAATCGCAGAGATGTACTTGCCGCGGGAGGAAGATACGACACCCTGATACAGCGATTTCGTAAGCCGACTAGAGTTGGTTGTAGGCAACAGACTTACGCAATAGGTGTTAATATTTCGGTTCAGAAAATTGTGTCTACCCTGAGAAGTTACCAGTCTGACCTTTTCAAGATGAAGAAAGTCGAAGAAAGGAATTTTGGATTTGAAGCTCCCCCAAAGGTTAACTTGTGAAAATTTAAAAAGAACTTGTCGCCTCCATCGCCTAATCGTTGTTTCTCATCAATTACAGTGTGATGTATTTGTTGTAAGCTTTGGAAAAGTTCTTCTGGAAGAACGTTTAGATCTCGTTCGTGAACTATGGGCGCATAACATCAAAGCGGATTTCATGTACGAAGAATCACCCGAACTTACACCTGGAATGCTTGCAAGCTTTTGCAAGAAACATGGTATCAACCTGATTGTTATAATGAGACATAAAAGCCAAGATATGTATAAATCCAGTTCCTCTAGAGATGCGCTAACTACCGTTAAAGTGAAAAATCTATTAAAGAAGACTGAAGACGAAGGTGACAATTATTTGAGCTGATCTTTCAGTTATTATTTGCTTTTGACACTATGTTCTTTTTTCCTCTCCTATTGCAGTTCCACGCTATGAGCTTTTTGCAAGACTTAATGGCGAGATAGCTGAACAAATGAGCTTCGAACAATGTAAAACTTTGGTTACTTATTTTTTTTTCCTGATCTTTCACGTTATACGCTCACATTTGTTTCTTATAATAGCCGCGTATGACGTCAACACTGCAAATTTACCTATACAAACTGACTCTTCGACTCACCCCAAAAAATTGTCGATATACATTGTTGGACCTCCTGCGGCAGTTAAGAACAGCAAAAAATTAAAGTATAAACAAAAACAACTGTTGATAGACAAAGGTATAAATATCATATTCTTGATTTTTTGGGGGGAGTATATCTAATGCATCCATCTGCACGATGTTTAGCTTCTGCCAGCATAACTGGAATCATAGAAAATATCAGGGGTGGAGCTACCCCAATTTTGGCGCTAGACATTAGTCGCGAAATTCTACGTAAACTTGTAGATTGCAACGTACTGGAAGACGAGGTCTTCAAGAGCAAAGGTAAGATTGACTGTGTTGGGAATTCTAAGAAATAAACGAATTGACCATTTTTTAATATAATAAATAGTATTGGATTTGGTCCCACCACACCAGAAAGAATATTTAACTTACGTGCAAGACATCCTTAAGGAGCAGAGGAATCAAAAGGAGAATAGGCACGTCTGGTTATATTCACACAGAGACGATTTCGGAATGCTATATCAATATTTCAGCTGAAAAATCCGATGAGCGAACATATTTCATATTTATTTCAAAATTTTGGCGTTGTATTTCGTAATATTCCTTTGTATTTATTGTATTTTACAATCCTCATATCCAACCATTAGTCTAATCTTTATGAAAACTATTCATGATCGTAAACAAATCTTAGACTTGCGCATAGAGATTTTAAATTGATACCACGTACTACCAGATCAAAATCCACATAACAACAACTGTATTATATTTTAGATTTACGCCCTTGTTGTATATAAAATTATCTTTTTGACACCAAGACCCCCGTTATTTTCATCTCTTGTATCGTTATTATATCAACATTTTGATTTGAATATATTCTTTACAAATAGATTTATCACAGTTTATTATTGTAATATACTGTACATTAATCAAAATTCCGTTAATAAATTATAATTCTCAATTTTTAAAAAAACTTTATAAATATTTTTGGTCTTAAATTTATATTTCGTAATATACTATATACCGTGAACCCTCCATATATGCACCCTTCAAATATGCACACTCTTTATATATGCACGCTATGTTCTATTCCCAAGCTTGGAAGTTAGTAGTATATGCACATCCTCTATATTCTACATTGCACAATTTTTTTTTATTCTGGTATATAAGTTTTCTCTTTTTATATGTGTACACATAATTTTTCTTTAGAGTTACACAATAATCATGGAGATTCTTCACAATTGATTTATAACAAATTTATTTAAGCCATTCGATGAAAACATAATATTATACCTGAAAGTTATATAACAACCTTTAAAATGGTCTTATAAAATTATAGGTATTTTAATTAAACAAATATTTTTTATAAAGATTAAAAAGATGTTATAAACTAGAATTTTGGGATAATCAAGAATTTAGATCTCTGGCCATGAAATATTAATAATGTTTAAAAATATAATAGATCATATAATAATTGTAAAGATTCTTCTTAATTAACCTATAATAATCTTTAAAATAACTTTAAAAACTATAGATATTTTAATTAAACTAATATCTTTTCTTAAAGACAAAAAATTTTTTATTAATTAGAATTTTAAAATAATCAAAAATTTAGATCTATTAGAATTTTAAGATAATCAAAAATTTAGATCTTGATAATAAAATATTAATAATATTGAAAAATATAATGGATCATATAATAATTATAAAGATTCTTTATGATCAACCTATAATAGTCTTCAAAATAGTCTTAAAAAACTATAGAAATTTTAATTAGACAAATATCTTTTTTTAAAATTAAAAAGATATTTTCAACTAGAATTTTAAAATAATTAAAAATTTAAATCTCCAGCTGTGAAACATTAATAATGGTTAAAAATATAATAGTTTATATAATAATCATAAAGATTTTTCACAATTGATCTATAACAACTTTTAAAATAAATCTAAAAAACTATAAATATTTAATTAAATGAATATTTTTTCTTAAAAATTGAAAAAATAATATCAACTAGAATTTAAAAATAATCAAAATTTTAAATTTTTAATCATAAACTACTAATAATATTGA